GGGTTTCCACTCATTCATTATTGTGCTTTTCTCCCTGCCCCCCCCATTTATTCTTCTCCTTGAAAAGAAAAACTCTTTCATTGTTATGCAATCCCTTCCCATAAGTCCACTCCACTACACAAGAATACCCATTCATATATCCCTTTTAAACAGTTCTCTCCCTCATCTGTTTCAATGCAAGATACATCATTTTTCCCTTCCTTTTCTGTCTTCCCTCAACCCTGATGTCAGTCCCATTTTACAATAGTGGCCCTATGCAATATTTGTCCTTTTGTGATTGAGATAGTTCACTCAGCATTATGTCCTCCAAGGTCATCAATTTTGCATAATATTTCATGGAGTTCCTTGTTTTTTCAAGGCAGCATAACATTCCATTGTGTGAATATACCAGAGCTTCTCTATCCATTCGTTTGTTGCGGCTTTGTTTGCAACAGTATAGAGCTGGAGATTGCCCATTTTTCTCCAGGGGAGCTGCTGTTAGATTCAGACTACCAGAAAGCCATGGCCTTCTAGTAACAGTACAAATTCCTATGGACTTCAGCACCTCCAACTAGGTTGGAATAACTTCTTTCTTAGAGATCTTATCTCACCAGTTTGTCATTTGGAAATCTCCCCTCTAGAATCTCAGCCAAAATATGCCTATAAGGCCATTGCTGTCTGTTTCTACCACTTCAAAATCTTACCCCCTCTAAATTTTTAGAAAGCTAACAGGTTGGAGAACCCTAGATACATGAAGAGAAATTATTCCACAAGGACCACACCGGAGTCAGCTTGGAATGCTGTCTCTATGCTCAAGCTGACTGGCTGACTTTTGCAGCCTCTTTCTTAGTCTTTGCTTTGTTTTTCTGTTTATTTCAGGAATCTCTAAGACCACTAATTTTGCATTTCTACCCTCTGTATTTTCTCTCATTGAAGAGAATGAGACTCATATTTGAAACTGAAGATTGTCAAGTTAAAATGTCTTAGATTGCTTGTAAGGAGCCTGAAGCAAGTGTGGTGACTTCTCTAAGGCTGAGTGAAGGGCTAGTTGTCTCTCTGGAGACAGCCCCCAGAACCCCTTCTGGTCGTCTACTTGTATCATAGGCCCAGACATTCTGTGATCCTCCTTCCCCTCACACACACACACGTTTCTTTGTTTTCCTTTCCTTTCCCCAAACTTCTCATTTTGCCAAATGGCCCAAACAGGAAAAGGATGTAAGTGGAAGCTTTTTTTTTTTTTTAAACCAACAAAAACCACAATTATATTTGAAAAGAAACTCAAACCTCCATAAACTGTATTAAGCAGTCCTTAATTGTGCTATTTCGCCTCGATTTGCTTTTCTGGGTTAAGGCTCTGACAGAAGAAAAACAAGGTTTATTTGTGATAATCCACAGGGAGAAGGACTTAAAGGAGCAACAAAAGACAAAAGGAAAAGTGAGCTGAAAGATCAGGTAACTAAGTATGAGAACAAGAAGTACAAAGTGGACATACCTGCCTGTACTTTTCCACTTAGAAACAAACTCAAAACAAAGTATTGGCTTTTTAATCTGTCTTGCCCGGCAAACGGGCTCGCCCTCCCTTTGCGGCGCAAATGGAATGAGCTTTAAGCCTGCCATCTAGTGGTCTGTGTGGAGAAGTACAAGTATTACAGCGTCGATTTACCGAGGTGACTGTTCGGGAATCTACGCTGAAAAACTCACTGTTGGAAAGAAAGCTTCAGCTGTTTTTCAGTCAATACAGTAGATGGAGACACACACTGAAAAACTGCAAGATAGGTACGGTTGATTCATTTGGCTTGTAGAAGGAGGCTCAGCACTGAGAGTGACTGACTCGAAGTTTGGTCATAATTTATAATGTTTCATATTCCAGTGTGCTTTGGATTTTCAAAAAATGTTAAGATTTTAGGCGTGTAGTATCTAAATCATCTGACCTCGTACACCCCGTGCCCTTTTTATTTTTTATACCGTGATTTGATGGTGATGGTGCCCCTTCAGCCTAACAAGACCAGCAATTCTGTCTCCAGGAACCTGGCTTTGAAGGAGAGACTGGGACAGGGGTCAAGGAAATTCTCGGATCTGAAAACTGGTGTCTGACCACGTAATGGGGCTTTAAACATTGGTATTATTTTTTTCAGCTGGGTCATACATATAGCTTTAAAAGTATGTGGCCAGGTGTTAGTTAAAAATACACAGGACACGTACAATGAATATCCTTAAAGTATTTATTGGTATTACAAATTATCTAGAGAGAGAAAAGCTTTAGTTTTTAATAGTTTTGTTATAGGTGAATTAGTATCAGCCTACTTACCTTCATAATTATTGTTATTTCTGTGAATTTCATAAAACCCAGGAATCCTACAATTGCAAATAGATAGTATCTTAAGAGTACTTAGGTAGCTCAGATGGTTAATGTGCTCAGTTGTTAATCAGATTGTCACAGGTTTGAATCCATCCAGAGGTGTCTGGAAAAAAGCCCAACCCACCACCACAACACATAAGTTGCTGTCTTCTTTCAAAAAAATCAGACTGAACACAACAGAGTGACTTTCTGACATGAATTCTTGGACTGCCAAGAATTGGAGTTGACTCAACAGCAAATGTAAAGTCAAAGACAACTGAAATTTTTGGCAAATATTTATTGAACATTTGTGATGTGTCAGACACTTTTCTGAGAACTGTGCCTGTACTAATCCATTTAATTCTTA